TGTGGGATGAAATGGGTAATTGTACTTATCTTTATAAAGATAATACTGCATTTGGAATATTTAAAAACCTCTCCAAAAATTAGTATAAAGGTTGGTATAAAGTTGGTATAAAGATAAAGGTTGCAAACAGGTTTGAAATCTGTATAGACATTAGCTCAGGTGCTAATATCTGCCTAAAGTTTTACGTTGTTGAGACTGATTCTGAGATACGATCTTAAGATCTTAAAGGAGGGAATGTTCTGTGAATTCCACATATTTGTCATGGACAAAGAACTAAAGTGGTACTGATAGCATTGTAATTAGTTAGTTATTAATAAAAAGAAAGAAGCAAAGGGGAGGCCAGACATTACAAGCATGGTCATTTGGGCAACTTCACTAGGAGGCTGCAACTTTATATTCCTGGGAGAGCCACTGGTGCATTCCCTGCACATCACTGGGGGAAGGGACTGGGCAAAGGGGAGATGGGTGCATGCAGTGAAGTGTCAGTGATGTAGGGAAGGTGCTTGCTGTCAGTCAAACCTGAGAACAGAAATCATTGGCCAGAAGGGGTGGGAGCCTCTCTCTGCAAGCCATGAAAACTTGGGAATACATACTCCCCCAGACAAAGGAATCTTTCTCTTGGCTCTTGTGTGGCTCTCTTGCATTCTCCCATGTTCCCTCCATAGCCAGGTGGCCCTGAGGACCCCACATGCAATGGACTGCAGCTGGGAAAACTAAGCAAGCTTGATGCTGGATTGGACTGTGCCCCAACATGGAGTAGAAACTCTGGACACTGGCTTTGATCTTAGCCCTGCTGAAAATGAAATGGGACTTTTCCTTAGTGGAAAAAGGGAACGGGGCCTTGGAAACTCAGGGGTTTGATTCTGCAGAAATAAAGCTTTCTGCAATACCTTATCCTCCTGTGAGAGTCTCAGAAAATTCATTTTTCTCCTAACATCACAAGAAGCCCACTTCCACCTGCAACAAAACGGGGAGCTCCCCATTGATAACAGTACTCTTTTGTGTTTCCTGATTCATTTCTTCATTGAGAGGTTAGCTAAAATTAAGCCAGTTGGTTAACAAGCAAACAACCCCTCAAAAACAAAACAGCAATTCAGTTCTTATAATTATAGTAAAATAGAAACAGACCTCACTTGTAACTTTTTTCACAAGTCAGATGGAAGATGAAACTTTTTCCACAAAGAAATCTTAATTTCTCTCCATGAAGTTGAAATAGACAATTCTGTGGTAAAATGTGTATGGCAAACTCAAATCATTTAGGCCACAAGGTAGGTTGACCCTACTTTTAATTAGCCGGGATTATTTGAGTAATCAACTCCATTTCACTCTGAACATACTGTCTTAAATACATTTTAATTATTGGTTGCTTGTTAGGATGTACAGAAAAAAAATATATATATTTTTTTACAAAAAAATTATTAGTTGGCATTTAAGGCAAAATATCAAAGCCCAAGTTTATGATGATGTTTCTTTTCTTTCTTATCATGATTGATTTTTGCTTACCTTCATCTTCTCTCATACTTATTTTCTTTGAGGTCAGCTCTTCAGAATAAGATTCAGATACAAGTAAAAGGAAATAATTGAACAGCACCAGTGAGACAGATAAAACACACAAAATCCTCTCCAGACTCACTCTGAATTGCTACTTGGTTCCTTTGCAATTTGTGGCATCAAATTTTCACTAAAGGTGTATAGTTTCAATCAGGAAGGCAACGCATTGCTGACAACAACCAACAAAAAGAAACACTGATAATATGCACACATAATAATAAAGGAAAACAGAAAGAAAACGATACCAGGTAGAGGTGGGGACTTGTTTCTTCTTCTCAGGNGAAAACAGAAAGAAAACGATACCAGGTAGAGGTGGGGACTTGTTTCTTCTCAGAGAAACAAGAAACACCCATTTTTCTACTGTGAAAGTAAATGACATCTGCTGGGCTCTCCATAATTTTGCATATAATGAGAATTGGAGTTGCACAAAATGCAGTTTTAGGAAGGTTTCCAAATAGATTCATGCCCTAGTGACCTCACTAAGGAGACAGACAGAAAAAAAATCAACATCAATTAAATGACATGCAAATTTTGACATGAACTTAATGTTAAATAGATAATGTCTAGGTACTCTAATTATATGTAATGTTACACAGAAGTTAAAAATTCTTGGTTGAGTAGAAATAAAAGAGTCAGGTTTCCTATGTATACTGAGGGGGAAGAAATGAACCTGCTGGGAGAACAAGGATCTTGACATAATAAAGTATGTATGCATGGTATGTCTCACTCTCTATATATTTACATATAATTATGAAAAAATACGTTTATTCTGAAATAGCAAATTGAGTATTGACTTGGAGAAAACATGTTACGCTTCCTGTTTTCCTCTCACCAACTAAGTGACAATGAGAGAGCCATTCTTGAGGCATCAAATTAGCAGAGTAGTTTGATTATCCGGATCCACTTCCAGTGGGTATTGTGACAAAATTAAAGTACTTATCGATGGCCTCGATAAACTCCTCAGAGCATGGAACAGGGTGGACAGAGACTAACAGGACCTTTTGCACTTGGAACACTGAACCAGATCTCCACTTGATCTAGGACTCTCTCTCCTCTCCTCTCTCTGTCGCTCAACATAAAGTCCTGTATTTTGTGCCAGGCACTGATCTCAATTCAAGTCTGCAGTAGTAATGCATCTAATCCAATACAACATATATAAAGGCGTTACTACAATTTTCCCCATTTGATGGCTGAGGAACTGAGGCACCATGTAATTAAGGAAACTGCTCCAAGTCATATAGCTATTTCGTGGGGTAGATGGCGTTCCAGCCCAGCCTGGCTGTAGAATCTATACTTTGAACCAATATGCTTTGCTTTCTTTCTTTGGATTTATCCTGTTAAAATGAGGTTAACTGCAAAATAAGATGTTAAGCTAATAAATAGGGGTGGAAAGGGTTAATGCTAAAGCACTTCCGCGAGCTGAAAAAAATAAGAAAATAAAAACAAACTAGCTAGAGGCTGCGGGTTAGAGCCCCCGCAGGCTGTTGAATGGGTCTCCTGTTTCTTTAAACTCTGCCTTTCGCTCGGGCTGCCNCCACGCCGCCGCGCTCCCGCCTCCACCCGCCCCTGGGTCTGGGGTCCGCGGGGGCTTCCCGGGGTCACCACCCACACCCGCTCCGCTTTGCTTTCCTCACACTCCAACCACCGCCACACGCGCCCCCGGGGGACCGGGGAACTGCCATTAACCCCTTAGCGGCCGGGAGGAAGCCCTCGGGCGGGCCGCGTCCCCCGCGGAGGGGCGCGCGGGCGACCCGGGGCCAGGTGGG